ATATATTGCAAAGCAATTCAAAACACACACAGGATTGAATAAACCAGTATTTGGACATAGTTTTCTCCTAATGTATTTGTGAATAGTCTACCAACATGTCTCATATGTTTCGTGAAAAATCACTCGATTTCACAGACTGACGAAAGTGGAACGAAGTTCACACGCCTTCAATATAATGTTTGAAAGTTCAACCATGAAATATTAATGAAATTTTAAATTGTGTTCTACGTCAACCTTAGGAACAACATAATTAAAGAAAATAGACTAACGTCATGAGACATATTAGTCAGCCATTCAAAAAAAAAATACAGGATAAGGAATGAACTAGAATCTGGACACGTTTCTTTTAGTGTATACGAGTCGACACAACAACATGTGAGTCACAAATCCCTATTACACATGATGTTGAAGACTTGAAAAGGTTGATCATAGATGTCTACGATCTCTTTCCCACGTTAGGTGGTATAATAAGGTAAGTAATGTTGACGTTAGGAGTAGAGTGTTGGGCAAAGAGGGAAAATCAATCGACGAGGCTATAAAGTTACATAGATTGACATGGCTAGGTCACGTGCTGCGCGTGCCTAACCATCGCCTCCCCATCCCGACGGACATTACTAGCTGATATAGGTGCAGGTTAGAAAAGAGTAAGTGGTGGCCAAACTAAAACATGGCCTCATCAATCCATGAAATCCTTGACAGTTAAACTGAGTCAGGTAGGGAGATGCAGACTTCCGGGTTGGGGCCCTCGGGGCCATAGAAGAATCAATGGCTGGTGACATGGCTCAAAATCGTTGTCAATGGCTTACGCAGATGTATTCAGTCTCTGTAATCTTTCATATTCCTTTCTACCATTACTCATTCTGTTTCATTCTTGTAATTGTCAAGACTCTATTGATTCTCTTCACTCATCTTCTTGTCTACCTTTGTATGCTCTTTGGAACGTGGCAACTGGAACTGCTGCACTTCGGTGCCAAGTTCTGTGTTGAATCCAGACATAACACATGATGCGTATGTAATATAAAGCGAAGTATTGATTATTTACTACGTTTGAGTCATTGCAAGCTAAATAAACGGCATAAATATCTATGTTAGAATAATATGGGTTCAATGATCCACATTCTTACCAGTAGATCATTCTTATAATGATCGCATTTATACACCCAAAAGTATCACCAATGTTGCCAGGACATATATTTAAAGTAAGTAAGGTTATAAGTGAGTCAGTCAAGAACGAGACACATTTATCCAGTGATGTATTTTATACGCATATGTGTGACATTTCGATAACTTAGACGTATACGATAGTGAAGTGAAACTGAGTGAAACATGATCATAAGTTAGGCTTGTTAGTTCAGTTGACAAAAATGAAGAATCGATGGGCAGATAGTATTTTTTTTAAATGCTGCGAGGCTATTCAAATACATGTATGGAACAAAAGTTTGTCCAAATACTGGTTCCCTCGTAATCCTACAATCAGCTAGATAGATAAGCAGTCTATTATTTAAACCTCAGTCGCTATCTTATGTTAACATCAGTCTATTCTACTGGGCATTATCTCATATAATCTTACTATGTGTTAGCTCTACTTTACCGGGAAAAACTATTTCTTTAACAAGGAGGAATTCATTCTTCTGCCATGAATAAACATTTGTGTACACATCATTCTTCTTTAAATTAATTGGCGTTTCTCGTTGACTCGATGTCTGAAGATCTCATTTGGGATGCAGATACACTCACACTGACAAGTCCCAAAAAGGACCAAGTGTGCGGCCTGGATACTCCGGTATGAGGTTGCTAACCTTACGCTCAACCTTCCCACTTTTCTGGGATCACTATAGACCAGCAAACTGGGTGAGGTTTATGAATGTGTCAGCTGGGAATCGAACCCCGAACCCAATCCGTAGCTAGCAGGTATTTTACCACTGAACTATGTGGATGTTTTCAATATGGTCGTGGTGGTTTAATTGCGTCAATTTCATTATCTATCTAGACAACATACTCAGCATTTACTCCCATGTGAAGTAAACAGAATGAAGTAAGCACTAAAGAGGGGCTACCTAGGAAGACAATGAAACCCTAGTAATCACACCAGCCGGTTCAGGGGACACAATAACATCAACAACAAAAAATGTTAGTACTGTAAAATATTCTAAATAAAAAGAATTTTTATTGAATTACAACAAAACTTCTATAATGAGTTGAGCATTCTGTGGATTAGCTAAACAGCCTGCTGCCAATACTACTACTAATACCAATACAAATACAGGTTAACTGTAAAGATGAATTCACATGCAATTAAAAGCTTGGATGTACCACATACATAACATAAGAACAAAGCACAAAACTGATATGCTAGAAAGTAAATAATTTATTGAACTCAGTAAAATAAACTACTCAACTATTGTTCGTATTGTAGGTAATCATTTTCGTAACAACGCATTAAAAAAACGAAACCGATATTACAAACAAAAATGACGGTAATATCATCATGTGATTTATCAACAAACAATTTTATAAATAATTAGAACATACAAACTTAATATCTTTACGAAGTAAACTATGAAACAATAAAGAATTTCAGATACATGTCAATAAACTACTTATTAAAAAAATTATATAACAACAACAGTGATTATAATGATTTGGGCACTATTGTGGATAAGATGACGATGACGATGAAATTATGACCAAGATATTGATTAACGGATTTATCTTAGTCTATCTAAGCTAACAAAGATCAGTCATCTCTAATGATATAACCACTGAACACATTTGTACTTTTAGGAGAACCGAAAGAACTCAGCTTAGACCATAATTGCATAGAGTCTCCTTCTGTTGCACAAACACTCAGGTGCCCTATTATACAGGAGACCATGAGATGGAGTTATCGATGCGTACTGAGATCCGAACTACAGCAAAGCAGCTATCTGGCACCCCTTGGCTTTCAATGGTTCTCTAAATAAGGTCATTTCGTGATCGAATTCGGGAGATCATTCTTCATCTGTAAATTCATCAAGTGACAAGTGTTAGATACTCCGGACCATATTCGATGATATATTGCTTTAATGACAAGAAGCAGTGAATGTAACGGAATGATTGTTTAGGAAATCCCTCTTGAAGGATCTATTTACGAGAGTGATACCTTTTCGGATGATTCAACTAACTTTGCAATTATTATCCTCTTTTCCTTCGGCTGTATATAATTATTCTGACGTTCATATCACCTGTTGATAACCCTCATTATTTGTCTTTGTTCTTGTGTAAGCCCTCATTTAAACGCTCATCTTCACAATTGTATGATGGTATTGCTCTATGTTTGTGACTTTGTCTGAATGAGGTCAAAGTTGACCTTGGGGATTTTAACCTCAGACTGTCTGCGGTGTATTGTATAGTGCGTGATTCATGCTGACAGAGTTTTGATCTCACACTACTGGGAATATTCTTCTTGATTCTCTGGTACTTCTTACAGTTGATTTCGATTTAATAATTTTGTTGCCGAACGCAGCACTGTTGAGGTAATTTTTAGTTTCAATATGTTATTACTGTTAAATAGTACCACAGATTTAATCGCAAATAACTGTAATTTTATTTATCGTCGGTACATTCTTAGAGAAACGGTGGTAACTCAAGGAATTAGTTGGCTATACAGTAGAACGCAAAGATTGGTTTCCTGAGTTCAGACCACAAAACATGTCAGTTTTGGTTGCTACAGTAAATATGAAATTAAAGTTCATTCCTTTCCATTGACTATCCACATTCATCATGTATATTCAAAAAGAAGGATTTTGTCTGCCAAGTTAGTATCAACATAAGGATTAAAGTTATTTTGATTGTTATTTCAGATAATTATAAGAGTATTGTTAACATGATCTTTTTGTGAACACAAAAGCTTTTAGTAACATTTATTATTATTATTATTTAGACAAAGCAATAAGAAGACATAATTTGTATTTGCGCACAACACATTTCGAACAATCTGATCACACACGGACTTGTCATAGGAATATATATATGAAATTAATAAAGAGTTAAGAGGTGAGAAAATAGACTTAGGTCAGGTTGAAAGGACATATTGAAGGTCGAAATAAGAATGAAGATCACTAAACCAAATAAGAGAGGCATAAGCAGTCAGAACACCAAGACCCAGTCTCCAACTCGCCCCAAAGAAAGACGTGTACATCAAGCTACCCTAATTGGGTTGTCATAGCAACTTGAAAACTAGATAAAGATTGAACGCCGTTGTTAAAAAGACTTTTTATGCAGTTAATATCATAATAATTGAGAATGTGAAGCCAATATATCCATCTAAACCCTTAGAACATGCGAAAAATGATGTCACATTCCACCGTAATTACCAATTTGAATATACGTGTGGAAACACACACATATAGAGGACTTATCGATCTCTGCAAGTAAGGGCTTCAGAGCACATTCCTAAATGGCTACAGAAGCAAATAAAATTCTCGGAGCCTATTAATGGTGAGAACAGGAGACCTAGCTCCTTCATTGCGAAACATGATTATAGAGACAGGACATAAAATTGATGTTTACATGTCTTTTAAACCTATCTAAAGAATGTATTTGGGGCGTATCCTTAAGTTTGTCAAAGCCCTAGTAATTAGAAAGTTTAAACCACCTTTATGAGTTCAAAAACAATTCGTCATCACATTAAACCTACTTTCCTTTGGTAAACTTTGTTTTGATACCATAACAGATGTACTATTACCTCTCTTATTTGGCTTAGTGATCTTCATTGTTATTTTGACCTTCAATATGTCCTCTTAACTTGACCTTAATTTATTTTCTCACCTCTTAACTCTTTATTAATTTCATATACATAATCCTATGATTAGTCCGTGTGTGACCAGATTGTTCGAAATGTGTTGTGCGCAAATACAACGTTACACGATTCAGACAAATTACGTCTTTTTATTGATTTGTCTAAATTCATAAAAGGAACTAATTGTTGTAAATTAGTATTATTATTATTATCAAAATGTTTATATTACCTGACAAAATGGAATATTTTCTGGTAATAACTCAGCTACACGTTTTGTCCATGATGTAGGTTCACGTAAAGGTGAAAAATCTGTGACGATACAACCGATATTAGCACTTTTGATTAAATTTAACAAGGATTCTCCAACTGCATCAGAATAACATTCATTATCAGCCTCAGTGATATCATCAGTTTCAGCTAATTTACGCTTTACACCTGTTTTAATTTTTGGTTTGTTTAACGTGTTCGCAGAGGTGATATGAAATGGAATACAAAGTTCACGGCATTCCTTCAAGGAAAAAAAAGTACAAATAAAAAGAAAAAAAAAGAATAAAATAAATCGAACGGTTTATATAACACTACATCAACGTATATTATACAGAATTCAGTTTAATAACAATAATAGCACAATTTGTCATTCTAAACTAAGAACAGTGTTCCAGGTAAGGGTATCGTTAACCGGAACAAATTTTTAATGTACCAAGCTATGCACACACCTATTTTGTGAGGGTTCCATAGCCAAGATTAAAGTAGATGGTATGGAACTCAAACCGCAGACCTAATCACTGAAAATCAACTATTAAAACGAATAAGTCCAATCACCCACTTATGCTAACACGCTAGATTGAATCTGATATCTACCGAAAAAATCATCTAGAATATTCAAGAAGACAAAAGGTTTAGGGAAGAAACCTTTCTCGGTGATAACATTACCTGAAGTCCTAAATTTGCTTTTTTGAAACCTTTTATTTCTACAATTATTATTATTTAATTGAATTTTAGATTTTCCCGTCGATTGGTTGGACCGAAGTGCTCGGTCTCAGGTTGACACGTCGGCATCTTGTGCAGATGCCTCGACAATGTCTGGGCATGTAATTAGAATTTAATTAGTGGATGGTAACTAGCAGTGGAATCCAGGATGCGCATTTCGTCTTTGGGATTCGCCATCTGGATGTACCTGCATTCCCAAGCATCTGTACAAGAAGCCCACATGTCAACTTGAGACCGAGCACTTCGGTCCAATCAATCGACGGGAGAATCTAAAATTCAATTAAATAATTAATATGACCCGTTGCACAAGAGGTGGCTCACGTGGCCCAAGTGGTCTAGTGGATAACGCTTTGCCTTTGGAACTATGGGCACTGGGTTCGAGCCTTGGTGGGAACATCATCACTCACTGGGGAACGCAGGTGCATCCAGATGATGAGTCCCAGATAGGGCGAAATGCGCGTTATCCTGGATTCCACTGCTAATCACCATCCACCAATTATATTATTATTATTTTGTACCTTTGTATTCAGGGTGGAGCACAGGGCTTAAAGCTTAAGCTGTGAAGTTGCAATAGCAGTGGTTTTATTTTTGCAGGGTGGGATGGTCAGCCTCATACGCCCAACCTTTAGTTTCAGATTAGTGAGGTTTACGAGTTTGTCGGTCGGGGATAGAAACTCAGAGCGCGTGTCATAGTTGGCTGTTACTCTACAGCGATACAATACTGAAATTATTTAATTGGATATAGTAAATGTATTAGGTTAAATGAAGATTATTAGTTTAAACAGCATATAAAATATCACAAGTCTAATTTTGAATAAAGACATGCAGAGGATTGATTAAAAGAGAAAAGATCTAAAAATTTTAGTAAGGATGTAACATAATTTGTACAGCAAGAGTAATCAAGACAAGTATTACAATAGAATGATGATCATGCTTGGTCAGTATAAATTTAAGCTGAATACGTGAAAAGTTAACCCCGGGAATGAGTCCGTAATGAATTTAAGGGTTGAACGACCTCATGTAGAATACGTGATTTCTCTTTCTCTTTGCGATATCTATTCCTTCTCAATGTATAAACTATAATGAATGATAAATCGGTTAGTTATATAAAAAGGCGTTCAGTAAAGAGTTACTCTTTTCAGACATATCATCCTCAAGCTGTACAATCGTATATGTATAGTAAATTTTCATAGCGACAAAAGGAATGTTACCACAGATGTTTCATTCAAATTGTAAGCTTTAGATAACAATCATGTAATACAGAAGACAAGATTTATGAGCACTCTGATGTTGACCTGCTGGTTTGTTCAGTGTCCAGAGTCGATCAGGTGTCCCAGAAAACAGCTATAGAGGAATCTTTCTTTTCCTTTATAAAACCATGAGGATAAATGTTCGATAATACGCTTGGATAGCAAACGCTGAGTATAGGTGACACATCTAGCTCCATAGGAAAAGGTGGATTGATAGATACACATTAATGAGATGAGAACAGTGGTAGCTTACTCCTCATGTTTATATGAATCACCAGTTTTGTAGAGGAAGTGAATCGAAGTTCACCTGAGAAGAAAGTGTTATTCAATGAACGGGACTGGCCGTTTCTTAGTATTTCCACCAATGAGTCTCCATTGAACTGCAGATTTCGATAGAGTTTTCGGGTGTGTGCAGTTCCCTGAGGTGTTGAATTCATAGATTTTGTGATGAAGCGTTTGGGGGTGGCCATTTTCAATAAGAATCCTGTTTAGAGTATTCACCTTCTCGCCAATGGTGTTAGAACTGCAAATATTGCAGACTCTGTGGCTCAATGAGAGGATCAGGTTTCATTTTTATATGAAGACATCCAGCTTTCACAGTTAGATGCCAAGTCAATAAATAGTACCTTCTTTAGAACTGAAATGAATGCCTTTCGTTACTTAAGTTTTATTTATGTTTTCTATCATATACCATATTTTTATAGTTGACTTAGTCATCCTATTTTTGAAAAAATTATTTTTCTTTTAACAAATTATGGAAGCTTATCAAAATTTTTTCAAAAGAATGGATACTGAACAAAGAGTACTCTTTCTTATAACTTCATCATCAGGTTCTGCAATTATATATACATTATAGTGAATGAATGAATTAGTGTTATGAACAATATTAATGTTTAAATAACATCGAATCAATAATATTGATAGATTACAGCTCAATAACATCAACATAAAATAAGCTGAATGTCAGAAAAATCAGGAAAGATAATATTACAAATTCATGAATTTATAGTCTCTACTGAAGACCAGGGCAGTAGTAGGGGCTGGACTTGCTTCTTTTGAACACAGAGCACTGGTTGTTTGAGGCGAATTGCAATAGCCTCTGCTGTTTGGACCATGCGGTGCTTCGATGATTTTGGCAATTTATTACGCACCCGGTAAATGATAGAGAAGGATTCTTCAACGCTGACTTTGTGGCCGGTTTGCACCAGATGGTCCAATATCGAACTGTTAATGGTTTTAACTACACCTTTACTTAGCCATAGTGGGAGATGTTCTCGAGCACGAAAAATCAAGTTCCTAGAGCAACGGCCAATATAACTCGCCCCACAAGCGCAGTTGAATTGGTAGATACAATTTGAAGTGGCTAGTTTAGGTACTTCATCTTTCAGTCAAGGTAGCACCATCGGTCGTGTAGAGAATAATACGTGTAGTTCGCCAGCATTAAAATTAATTAATTAATTCCTCTGGTTACTATGGTCATTATGATATCAAGACTTCATTTTTTATCAGATTTGTGACTTATTTACACAATGAGGAAATTTCCTTTTAACCTGATATATATTTACTATTTTCAGGGAGTCCCAAACTGGGACAAAACGGCTCTCCAGCACTCCCAGGTTTTCCAATGGTTCTCTAACTCATGTCAGCTCATGATGAGATCCTCCAAGCAATATATTTACTGTTGAATTAAATAATACCGATATTTTCAAAAAGATTGCGATTGTATAGCAGGCGCTGTAAGTCAGATCACTGAAAAAGTTGACTTTTCTGAACATTTCGACTACAAACTTATGTCTAATACTGGAAAGAGACTTTGGTTGTACATTCTATCAATAACTCATCTGTAACAACTGACACAAACAAATGCATTGCATAACCAGTCATATCGATGTTAGATTAATTTAGCTAAGAAATTACATTTCCGTTGAATACGACAACTCTAATAATAATCAGTTCGACTAAGCAAGGCAACAGTCAAGTCAACATGCATAAAAAAATCATTAGTAAGCCCTCCACTTAGATTTCGTGCTTATTGGCACTCATCAGTCAGCAAGGCGTATCTGCAGTCTTGAAGGAGCTCATGTCCCACCTAACACGATGGCAATATTACAGACTTGACCGGTTGTAATTCAGTTTGCACCAATATCAAGGACTAGACGCAGGACATTAATTACTAAGTAGTGTCCACTCAGAGTATTTCAATGGGTATCACAGAATTAATAGCTCGGTTGTAATACCAGACATGTGTTTCTTATTTATTCCAGCAGCATATTGATGTGATCGAACTTGAACAGCCTGGAAATATACTGAACAAGGGCGGTCCTCTCTGTGTGTCTATCACAGATGAACAGAGTTGGACTATCCGGCTGGTGCTGTTTCTTTGCGCATAAAAGCTATAAATAAACTGAGAATAATTATTACCATTTATAAATATGTTGCTGTAATCTAGATATTATTGATGTGAAAATATTGTATCACACAGACTACAAGTGAATACTGAACTTGATTGAATAAAAATATGTAAGATGAATTCACGATAAGGTTATCTGTGGTCACTTTTGGTGCCATTTAAATGTTACAAAGCTTTACTCAACAGAAGGGAAAGGTCTGTGAAATTATTAACCAAATGATTGGGTCTAACAACGTTTAACTAAAAATTCAGCTCCCAGTAACTGCAGTAGCGGGATTAACGTTAGTTAGATCTCAACTATCCAGTACTGGACTATAAGCCACACTTATTGTGTAGGGGCTAATAATGCTACCCATTTGGCCAGGCTGAAGTACGTGAAGCGAAACACAAACCCACAATCTACTGACAAACAGTCGAGTGTTTAAGCCAATATGCAGCATCTTCACCGCCAGACTGACACAGGTGAATAACAATAAATCACTTTACGTTCAAACATCAGACGATCTTTTTTTCATTCCTTTGCGTTCCAAGTGGAATACAGAGTACCAAGCTCAGAAGTTTCAGTAACAGTGGTGTGAATCTTTTAAACTCACACCAAACCTTTCTTCTCTATCCGGATTTCTACCGGCTAAGCAGCGAGGGGATCGACATGAAGAACCTAGAAGACCTGGATTTCGCGGACGATTTATGTTTGATGTCACAAAAAATCGAAGACTTACAGGCGGAAACCGACAAACTGGTCGAAGAAGCGGCAAAGACAGGACTCCAACCAATAACAACAGCAGCAGCAACATCCAGTGCCAACCACCATCAACGGGAGGGATTTCAAAGAGGTTACTTCATTCACTTATCTAGAAAGCATTGTTCCAACTACAGGAGGAACGGACGAGGATGTCAAATCGAGAATTAGGAAGGCGAGAAACACATTCATCAACCTGAAACCAATCCGGAAATCTTCGTCACTCTGCATTAACAAAACAATTCGAATTTTCAATACAAACGTCATGTCCGTCAGTTCTTCTATACCGATAAGAAAGTTGGTGGCTCACAAAGAATATTTCCAACAGGTTGCAGACCTTTATCAACAACTGTCTTCGTTCTATTCTCAAGATCAGATGGCCGGAAAGAATCACCAACAAGAAATTTATGGGAACAAAAAAACAAGAACTAATCGCCCAACAAATATGCAGGAGAAAGTGGAGATGGATTGGACACTCGCTGAGGAGGCCGCTGGGTGACATCGCGCGTCAGGCCATTGCTGGAGTGGAACCCGAAAGGGAAGCGGTGAGTGGGACGTTCAAGGGTGACATGGAGGAGATCGTGTGAAGAGGAACTGAAGCAGTATAGATTAACATGGATGCAGGTGAAAAGTACAGCAGAAGACAGAAGCAAGTGGAGACATGCAGTTGAAGCCATATGTTCCAATAGGAATCCAAGGGAACAATAATAATATAATAATAAGCAGCGAGGTGTTTAGGAGTGTATCAGTAGAGAATCAAACCCGGACCATGTGTGTAGTTTGCGAGTATTCCACCAGTGAATCATAGATACACTCAAACATCGTATAACATATAATAAAAACGAAAACATCGAGAAATACCTGCTTTTAATTATACTCAATTGTTAGCTGAGAAATTAATAATGTCTAAAAATGTGTTCCAAACCAAATTAATGAAATATAACATGGAAGGAAACATTTAGTATAAAAATATATCAATCAATTGCAAGAGAAACAATACAAAACTTTGTTCCTCCCAGTTAATCGTTACTGTCCAATAGCTAGCTGATTATATATGTATATATATATATATATACTTTGAACCAGTTAATCGGATTATTTAACTGGATCACAACATTTACAAAATATCTATAAATAGCAAGCTTATTCAAACAGTTCACAAATATAGTGATAAGAAGCTATTTGGAAATTCTTGCATAAGACAGGTAAATTATTGTTTACAGTAACCTTAAATTTTAATCTGATTTCTTTGTTATTCACAGTAATGAGCAGATTTATGAAAGTATTAATGAAATCGTAGAGAGATAAATACTCACACACTTGGCAAACATGTATTACTATTAATTGTTTCCTTTAATTCCTAGAGGAACATAAGGCTTCAGCTGCACGTCTCCATTGCGTTCGGTTCTCTGCTAGAGTCTACACCTGGCTCCATGTCTGCCCACACGTTTTCATCTCCTCTTCACATGACCTCCTCCAAGTCACCCTTGCACTGACGACCAACTCGCCGCTTCCCTTTCGGGTTCCACTCAAGGGTTTGTCTAGTGATGTCACTTGATGGTTTCCTCAAGTACATTTAGGAAGTTGCATTAACCCTAATAGACTGATTACTGACAAAATTTCAGCACGAATACAAAAGGTTCGTGTGACATTTGCCAGTTAACGTTGTATCTGGCGTATATGTGATATCCGGCCATCCATCAAAGGACGCGTGTACTGCGCAGCAGCTTACTCTGTCCTCCTTTATGGCTATGAGGCATGGCCTTTGAAAGTGGAAGATACACAAAAGGTTGGCCGTCTTTTACCATAAGCTTGTTGAGTTCTCCGTATGTTAAGTGATATAATATGACGAGGAATATTGAAGTTAGGTGTAGATTGTACGAACTAAATTCTTATGTTTTGACAATCTGACTACCCCCGATCTACTCATTTGACCTATGTAGTTGACTTAACTCATAGTCATTGCAAGGTATTTTGTAAATTATATTATATTGTCTAATTGGGTCAACAGGGTCGTTTAACCTACAGAGCTTGTCCCTGAGTGAATTTGTAGGTTTAAATGCCGCCACAATTCCTCCTTTATTAAGAATCCTACGTAGGGTTTTAGATGTCTTCTCCTTCTATGGTAAAACTGTACATGCTTTAAATTCTTTCTTATTTATATTATCATTACTAGTTTCAGGATTATTTTTCTTTTTATTGTGACCTTTTGTGATCTGTTCAATGAATTTTATAGGATAGTAATTTAACACTAACGCTTCTTCTATCTGTTTCATTTCATCATTTAGGTTTTTTGTTGTACTACTTAGTGCTACTGTTCTGTTTGTTAGACATTTAACCAAGCCTGCCTTTACAGATAATGGATGAGATGAATTAAAGTCTAAATATCTATTAGAATGAGTTGGCTTTTTATAAACTCTGGTACACAGTTTACCTTCTGTTCGTTTTATTTTACAATCTGACATAGCTAATCTTCCTTGTTCATTTTCTGATTCAAATGTGGATTTTATTCCCTTTACCATTGAGTTTATGTGTGAAGAAACTAGAGATATGTTCTGTTTGTAACACCGTGAAAGTGTTATCCACCTGCCCTCAGTAGGATGTCTTAAAGTTCTTCTTAAAAGGTGCAGGTGTATTCACTTACGGTTTAAGAGATAATAAAAAGGCTCCACCGCACTTCATTTAATCTGTGGTATCATTCCGTGTGCTTTTATGAAGCGTTAGAGATTAAAGCAATACACTTCTGTGCAGAGTTCGGCGTTAATTTGTCAACCTACAGGTAGCATCACTTCAGGCGTTTTAGGAATGTGTGTATCCTCCAACCTCCAAACTGCTTGTTGTATTTCAAATATATGTAACATACTACGTAACTGTTACGTATTAATGTTATTAATCTTTCACTCTGAATGATATCATTGTCATCTTTCGTTTTCCAGTTCATCGTGCTGCAAAACTGTCAGATAAGCACTCGAATCTTATTGATATAAGTTGTTATTAAAATCCAAGTGTTTTACGATATTCCACACTGTCAATTCTGGTTTAAGTTCGTTGAACTTGCAGCTCTTTTCATCTCCTACATCTCAATCAGCCCTCCTAACTTTCCTACATCAGGTGTTGCACATACTCGAAATAGTCTGATTTCGCCTGAGCCACCCGTTGTATCAGTTTTCTATGGTTTGGTGTTTGCGGAGCGTTACAGACAACTAGAGAAAGCATTTCAAGAAATCTGACAAATAATACTAATCACTTATATATGTGGAGCCTTAGAACACTTAATACTCTGAAAATAAATCCAGATTTGCTTTTTTACCATTAAAATTGATATACTGCAGAAGAAAAAAACGAAAGGCATATGAGGCCACTTGATGACAGATATCTTAAAACCACTTTACACACATGATGCGATCAGTAAATGACCCGTCTTTGGGTTAGATGTAGAGTTTTCTACAAAACGAGCAGGATAATATACTCGTAAGTGAATACTACGTGAATTACTCAAGATTACATTAACTAAACTACTAATTATTATGATGCATATTTTTATTTGCAATATTAAACCACAGGATAAGGTGAAGGCGGTTGTAATATATACGTATTTATGAAGCATAGAAATATTTCAAGGACGGGGAGAGTAGAAATGGGGTAGAAGATTATGTGTGTGTTCCGGGGTGTAAGTTTGTAAGGTTAGTTTATACATGTGCAATAATAAGGGGTAAGGAAATTTATGTATACGTGATGGAAGGTCATGCCTTAAAGGCCGACGTAATACAGTATTTATGGATTTGTAAATTCCACAGCAGATCAGGGCAGCAATAATGACTAGACCAGTGTCTTTTGCACACATAGCACCGGTTGTTTAAAGTGAATTGCAACAGCCTCTGCTATTCGCAGTATTCGGCACCTGGATGCTTTTGGCTATTTATTTGGTACTCGACAGATGATGGAGATAGATTCTTCTATATAACATTTAAGGCCCCTTTGGACCAGATGACGTAATAGTGAACTGTTGGTAGTTTTCACTTCACCATTATTTAGCTACACCGGTGGGTGTTCCAGAACACGAAAAATCAAGTTCTCAGGGCAACAGCCATTATAACTCGCTCTGAAAGCTCCGTTGGATTGATAGATACAAGAAGAGGTGGCTAGTTTAGGTAGTTCATTAATTCAGCTGATGAATCACACCGGGTCGTGTAGATAATATGACCTGTAGTTTACCAGCCTTAAAAATTCTTTAAAATCGATTTCCTTAACTTGTTGGCAATTATTTCACTCGGTACATCAACTTTGAATTGCAGTCGTATATATAAAGGTTTCTTATTTACAGATAGACAGCAGTTCTTGTTTATTTTCTTGGTCGTCTGTTTCATGATGAACTTATCTGGATAGCTATTTTCAATTAAGGTGTCATATAAAATCTTAAGTGCATCTTCAATAACGTCTTATGAATATATATAACTTTGACCTTGTAGCTGAAGTTCCTTATTAAATTTCTTTGGCACTGGAAAGGAACAAAGCTAAGAAAATGACTATATTGTCCTGCCCATGTACTTTTCTTATGAAAATTTCTTATACTATCATCTATTAATTAGGATGATTGATTAACTATTGTAACAATGAACTGAACTTCGGTTCATTCTTATTTGTTGTGTGTTAAACACAACACACAACACAAGACACAGCTGATATCTTGAATATTATTCCCACAATGAGAAAGGCACAGAAGGCTGACTGAGATGACAAAGAGGTTTATTGCTCCATGGGGAATGCAAAATGAACAGAAGTTACAGCTGAATTATATACACCTATGTGATAGGATAAAATCTATGTTCTGGCTGAATAAGCATGTATGCATGCACTAATAATAAATCTAGTGTCCTGACCTTTTATTTGCTTCAAGGTCAAATGTCTAGCTTACAGATTCAATGATAAAATATTGACTGCCAGTATGCATACACATGTTCGATATATATTAGGACTTAGAATTGACCAAAATGACATAGTCATATGTACAAGATGCCTGGCTTAAAACTATTCAGCGCGCGAATACACTACTGATGGTTTAATTACAAGTTAAAATTTAGAAGAGAAAAAAATTTGTATAACAATTAGATTATTTACCTCTTCTACTTCTTTTAATCCTTCAATCATAAAAGTATAATGTCGTAGTGTTTGAGCTTGAACTTTTGGTACTAAACAAAAACCAACATGCAGTGGAACTTCAAATTTCAGTGCTAAACGTTGAGCGAATAAGAAAGCCCAATTATCTAAACAGGAAGATAATTTATTTTAAAAAAACACAACAACTAATGAACAAGGGAGAGAACTTTAACATACAACAAAAAATTAGTAGAAACTACTCTGCATACAAAATATCATATCTAAAACAATCAATAAGATAATCATTAATAACTGCTGTGAATGGATGTCATGATGCTACGGGTGGGAAGCTGGAACCAGTGGAATTCACAATATCAAGGTGAAGTGGTGAGTCGGTGGCACAGTGGTAGAGTGCTCGCCAACCATGCAGATGGCAACCGACGCACTCCTTTACCTCGCTAAGCCAGTAATAAGACTGGTAAAGAGGGAAGGTTGGGCATGAGCCTAGCAACCCTATCCTGTAAAAATAATCACCACTGCTACAGAAACTTTAAGTCTCTAGCTTGAAGCCCTATGTTCCACTGGGAACGTAAAGGAATAATAAATAAATAATAATGATAATAACATGAAGTGGGTGCTCATCGGAAGTATTGGTGAAGGTAGCGCTGTATCATAAATTGACAGGGTTAGAATTCACCAGTCATTGAATTCCAGAACAAATGGCTGAATGGTCGGTCAGATTAGCCTCTTAACCTGAAGGTCCTGGGAACTGTTAAAGTCATGAACTAGGATGAAATAACTGTCCAGTACTCTCCAATTCGCAATGGTTCTCTAACTAATGCTATCTTGTAACAAAATATGTATTGAAAAAAAATCTGAAATAAGCCTGTTAATTGAATACAAAAACAGATAAGTAATGTTTTCATTAAAACACAATAATTTACATGAAGGATATTTACAGAAATAAGTTGTGATAAAGAAACACAATCATCATTTATTCACTCTTTTCTTTTATCAGGTATACTTATGAAAAAATATCTTCAAAAACTGTAGTCTTTGTAACGTAAGGAAAAAAAATTCGAATCTTTATTCATTACAGGGTTTCATCATGAACTGATATCGGTTAGAGGAGTACTGGATAGCCGTTTCGTCCTAGTTTGCGACTCTTCATCAGTACGCACTCACCACTACGGTTCCAACCTTCTGGTTACAAGGCGAGCTCGTAGACTATTAAGCCACTGGAGCCCGATCAAATGGACCATGAATTCCAACTTCTGCCAATTCACAACATAGCGCGACGGCTAGCCAATGAGAATTTGTCCTCATACCCGACCTTCTGCACCTTACCTTTTACTTTGTAATCAAGAGACCACTCACAGCTGTTAACCTTGACGTGATGGTTGGGCTTGCATATCACAATGACCGAATGAGCTGCACTGTCTGGAGTTAATGTCCCTGCATTATCATCTCAAAAAACAAACAGTTTGAAGTAATGTGTGCAGTTCAACCAGTATTGTAAAGATTACCGACTACAACTCAGTTTACCAGATGTAGTTTCTCATGGATCAGACTATGATCCACACGTATTGTGCGCAGATTGATGTCACTATCAAGTTATTCAATCTGAAGTAAGTGGTGTGTTCAGTTCGAACCCAGGACACAATAGCTGGAAATCGTCGAATACTTCAGCTAATGAGCCACACCTCAACACTACTGATTAGGTGCAATATACAACCAGTTCTTTTCTATTACTTAAGTGACCTACTCAGATGAGAAATTTCAAAAGAGAACTGCTATTGCATTATTTCTAACCATTTATGCTCAATTTAAAAAATTGCCTCTTTAATTATCTATCCAAGTGTTAAGTACAGGAGTGATTTTAAAGCATATCCCTAAATTCACCGGTGACAGACAATATTAATTGTGATAGGCATATTTAGGCATTAAACTCCAAATTTAAACATCAGAATTCACTATCATGGTTTCATTTTAATATGTGTAGCCTACTGCATCAGAAATGCTTCGCTGTCACTTGTATTCTAGTGGCGCTTATTCAAATTGGCGTATTTTAGGGGTATGGGTTTGATATCACTCCAACTGTAGTGTTATTTTAGATTATTTCACAATGCATTTAGCTGTAATATATATATATATATATATATATATATATATGCAGAAAAACAAATCACATACTGACAGGATAACCTTGAAATGTATGAGAACAAAATAACAAACATCTCTCATCTAGTCTGTGTAACTCTATCTGTAGTCTAATTTAGTCATTTAGGTCATTACAACAGAAGGGAAAAGCGACAAAGAAAAATTGACTACGACATTAGTTATCAAACTTACAGGTAGATTTTATGATTTACAATCGATATAACAGAAATCACACTTCAGAAACCACTACCGCTTCTTAATTTTCAATATTCAATCTAACATTTATTCACAATTATGACATGACCTTGGCTAAAGGGTAGCAAAATCTATACTTTAAAAATATACGATGTTATAGATTTAAGTAAGGATATAAGTGATTGCAAGGCGTTTTCGCTTATAAGGAAACAAACGCCATGACAGATAGATATTCCAAATGTGTAAAAAAAATCGGAAAAACGCCCTTTAAAAACGGCCAAAAATAATATTTGATATTATCACAGTATTCCTTTAAACATGTAATACGGGAATTACATAGAAGCGAATTACCCAGTGAAAACTCAAATTGTAATTAACCGCCTTTACTTTACTCTATCAAGGAGGCGAAAATTGCAAGGGAAATACTTCCGTTTTGGGGATAACTTATATACTGACCCAAAGAAACAATAATGCCTTCTTAAAACAACACTAAGTAGAACTGAAGAAGTGTTACACCATCGTCAATAAAAGAAATGTTGTAAGGCAAAGTTCAACAACAGCGTCCCAGGAGTGCGAACGCACAAGTGACCTTCAGCCGACCAATCATACAAATGAGGAATTTTTGTACAAAAAATGACGTATATTTAGAAGAAAATGCATGCAAACACATTTCTCTCAGACAGGGCTTAAAAATACGTCCCAGCTATAATGAGGAGTATCAGTTGTTAAGTTAAATTAATTCCTGGACATGTATTCATCGAGGTGACTGAAGGTGAGCTGCTTTTGTGGATCGATTATCTCTCTTGTCCTGTTGTACAGTCTTTCCCAAAAGCTGTCGGTTAAATTACTATGGTTTCCGGTAAGAGGATCGGCGACTACTTACCAGGAAAATGCGGATATTAAAACAAATTAAAATAAATGACAACTCTAAATCTTTCCCTAATTGTAACCCTAACCTTAGTCCTGAACCTAACCCCAAACTTAACACTAACCTTAATCTTAACCGTAATCCTAACGAGCTAGTAACACATTGTCCAGACAATACTTACAAATGTGATTTGAGTGAAATTTGCTGCTTAGTTGGTGAATAGCTTTAATATTTCAGCTGTCGAAATGACAGGTGCAGTTAGCCAACGACTAGCACGCGTTCAAGGTCACTGGAGCATTCACACTCCTGAGACGCTATTGTTGAACTTCGCCTATCTTAAAATGAAACTAGGAACTGATTGGAAAAAAACATAATACAACCAACGTGTTACGAATTTACGAAATAAAAGTGATATGACAACGAACACAAAAAATCATTCAATGTAAAATGAAAAGTAATTTTCAAGTATTGGTTTTGTAGAGATTTTTGTTTGATTGCATGGGGGATTTCATCATGAGCTGACATCAGTTAGAGAACCACTGGAAAACCTGGGAGTACTGGACAACAGTTTCGTCCTAGTTTGGGACTCTTCATCAGTACGCACCCGCCACTGCTCTTCGAACCCAGGACCTTCTGGTTACAAGGCGAGCTCGTAGACCATTGAGCCAGTGGGACCCGATCCAATGGTCCTTGAATTCTAACTTCTGCGAATTCACGACATAGCGCGACCATTTTGCAGTCTCTTCTTCGATGAGTTACTGCCGCATCTTCAACCTGCTGTACCCTACTGGTCACGGCTTCTCACTAGAACCCCAGGTTAAATGCCTGAATAGGGCCAGTCGCTAGTGAGCGCTATGTCGTGAATTGGCAGAAGTTAGAATTCAAGGACCATTGGATCGGGTCCCAGTGGCTCAATGGTCTACGAGCTCACCTTGTAACCAGGTCCTGGGTTCGAACCGCGTACTGCTGAAGAGTCCCAAACTAGGACCACAGAAACACCTGTCCAGTACTCCCAGGTTTTCCAGTGGTTCTCTAACTGATGTCAGCTCATGATTAAATCCTCCATGCAATAAAAAGTAATTTTCAAGTGTTAGTTTTAAAAGGGATTTGATTGGTTTCAATATTGATCACGAACTAATATTAGTTAGAGAACCACTGAAAACCAGGGAGAATTCGACAGCTGTTTCATCAAAATGTGAGACTCTTCAGCGATAGGCACTTACCACTATACTGGAGACCTAACCTGAGACTTTGGTTGCGAGGGGAGTTTATTAACCACTCAGACACTGGGATGGGATCCAATGACCAATGAATTCTGACTTCTGTCAATGAGCAATTCACAGAGCCACTGTCAGCCAATGTCATCGGTGACGATTTATCTTGACACTTGACCTGATGGACTCCACTAGTCACAAATAATTCAAAATATTGAAACATACAATGACGCAGTTTGCATTCAAATGTATAATACAATGTCATTTCTAAAAAAACATTATAATTTACACCATGCTTACCAGGCTCAAATTCGTTGGCAGCATTTCAGCATTACAACTCATCACCTACCTTATAGACAGTTTGGGTAAAAAGCAAACTGTTAGTAAACAGTCGCATGATAATAACTGTTGAAAAGTAGTTGAAACAATTGCGTTTTTATCGACTGACATACGTACCTGTAAACCACTGCAGCGAGTGATGTTAAAGCATGCCCCTCAAAGTACACTATTTTGAATGAGCGCCACTAAGATACAAGTAAAAGCGAAGCATTTCTGATATGACTTTATGTACTTTGCTCTAAACTCTACTACCTATATATGTATGACTACCAAACAATATTTAATGCTACAGACTAGTAAAACTTGTTCATTGGAACTGGTGAATTTAGAGGTATGCTTTAACGTCACTTCAATAAAAGAACTTTTCAACAAAAAACGGCAAACAGAAAAA